ATAATATTTTATCACCACAGAAAATCATCGTACGTTCGTACAACGAAATTGCACAACACTGACTATAATAATAACGTGTATAATACTATTACATAATAGCAAGGGATTTAAATAAGCATATATAACATGATAATCAGGTTTTTCTGATAATGAAATAGTATTAAGACCCCAGTTACAACATTTGGTAATCCATTAATTATATAATAGGTTATCGGCTTAATAATAATACTATTATAGGATTTTACAAAGTAATATTTTGTCACCGCAGAAAATCATCGTTCTGATACATCGTACATTCGTACATTCGTACGTACGTACGTACATATGTAAAATTTCCTCGTAAAGGCGTACAACCACAACGAAACTGTACGAACTCAATGGTACGAAGTCAGTCGTACGTACGAAGATTCTTCTTGTACAGCGAAATTGCACAACCCTGACTTAGACAACTCAAGCCTGCCTACATACCACCTAATAGAAAAGCAATTTCAGGAAGACTTCTTGATACAAGTTGTGGTGATACAAATGATTATGGTTATTGTGAAAATAGAACAAATGATTATGAAATAGGTGATGAAACCAGAATGAAAAGAAACCAGTTAATAATAATATTAATAAGAAAAAGCCATTAGAAATAGACTAGAAAAAAAACTAGGATTAATTATAAAATTGATAATGATTTTTTGATAGTTAATTGAGATTACCAGAAAAGAATCAAGTTATCGTTTGACTTTCGGTTTAGGTTTCAAACTTGTAAATGTTTGAAAGTATTTTCGGTTCTGGTATTACAGAAAAGGGGGACTCCCTAGTACCATTACATTCTTGGCTTTAACCGTGGTGGTATTATTTATTGTTAAGGGATTCTAATAATATTGTTTGTGGGTATAAAACTATCAAATGATAGATATACCTTTATTTCATTAATTTTCTTAATTGAGGTACTAATCATGGTGTAATGTCAGATTAGGCCAAATCATCATCATAAATGATAACTGAAGATAATTTGATTTTAATTGAGGTTGTATTACGAATATTATTAGCATCAATATTTTTTTTTGCTCATAAGTGCGGCTACATCTGCTTGATATTTAACTTCTGTATTAATTTCATTCACCAAAATATTTCAACTTTTTACAGATACTAACTAATCAACTGAATTTTCTATTACGAGGCGAGTGATACATATAGAAAATAAAATAAACTAAGCCATTGATCTTTGGTAAGGGCATTCCTCAAAATTGCATTGATATTATGGCCGTAAAATAATACCTCCCTTATAAATCTGCATCTAATTGAGTCTTTGTTAAAAATTTTTTTTTTTGTCCCGAGTTGATTGATTTCAACATTTTTTTGTTTTAGCAACTCCATTATATGTCTTTTTTATCTAATCAATACTTTCGAACCCCAATGATTTACTTATTTTCCTTGTGAGTATAGTTTAATGTAGGTACCGATGGATATGAATAGAAGAAATACTTCTAGCAGCTGTCCATGACCATCACTACCATCATTACTGTTAACGTAATGGCTACTATCATTATTAATCGCTATTTTCACCATCATTAACTATTATCATTATCACCAGCAAAAATCTTGGTTGTATAATGGCTGTTAACTGGAAACACATGAAAGTAATTTAATATTGTGAAAAGAATGACAATTTTTAATCTACATATTTTGAATCATTGTCAAGAGAAAATCGCCCCCACTGCTTGGATAATGTCACCGATCTGAAAAAACCCTGCTCCTAATTGTTACCGTTGAATTTCTTAAAGATCGTTTCATCAAAATTATCATCTTCAGTCCACACCTTTGAAAAGATTATCTAAACAAAATCAGTGAAAATCGTACATAATTTTTTTAAAAAAAGTTTAGATTTTAAAATAATTTTTTTTTACATATTCATACGAATCGTTTTCAGAAATTAAACTATTACTATGGAAATTTGAAATTCATCGTAATTGCAACCAATAAAATTGTAAATCGCGTTCAGTAGTTTAATATTAATATTAATATTAATAGAGAAGCTAAGCCCTAAGAAAACCAAATATCACTCTCTATATAAAAACATTAAACATTCGCTGTATAACATTAATTCGAAATATCTGTCCGGGTTTTCATTGAATTTTTTCATTAATTTTTCCATTTTAACTTTAATTTTGCCTCTTTATTGATTACATCTGTTATTATTGAAAAGAAAAGAAAAAAATTCATATCTTGCTTGATGCGTTCTCAAATTTCTCCATACTAATACGGCTGGCTAATTTTAAATCCATATAAATTTCAAAAAATAGTTAAGAAAGATAGATGTCCAACAATCAATTAATAAAACAACACGATCACATGGATCATGAGAATTCGCAAAATAAAAATAGTCAAGAAAGACAATCAACATCAATAATTGATAACATGGATCATTGGGGTGAGCGGTCAACTAATTAAATCAAAACTATATATGGACCCCTATGAAAATTTACTATTGAATTTTTTTTCACATATATCGCATGACAATAAGTACCAATACCATTATATTTTCCTATGCGGCGATTCAATTTATAGTGTACATACATGTATAATAATAAATATGCTCTATTTTATTTATTACCTAATATACAATTAAAAATATGTGATGCAATTTCTTCTCCAAATGATGTTTGCTTATCTTGAAGTGGAATTTGTTTTTGCTCTCTTCTTTGAGCGCGAATTTCTTTAAGACCTACAGTTAAATCCTCTTTATCAATCTTGCCTGAGGTCAATTGGAGTTTTGATTGTTTAAGAGATAGTGTCATATTTGCATGGGTTTTTAAATCTAATTTATTAAAAATTCCTTCAACTTGTTGCTGGTGAATAACAATAAAATAAATATGTGTTGTAACAAAATCATAAAGTTGAGGAAATTCACATAATATAGGATTATTGGCCTTGCAAAATTCTTCAAATTCATCATCAAATTCTTTATTACCCAATAACATTTCTTGCAAACCAAAGGTATTGTTAATTCCACAATTAATGTCATTTACTAAATCTTTTGCAAATCTTAATTCTATATCTGTAGGTGTTTTATTCCAGTCTCTTTTTAAAATTGCAAAGCGAAAACTGTTGGCAAATAAATGTGCAGAATCTCCACCTAAGCAGCAAATTGTTAAAGGTAAATGAAGCCATGGATCTAACCACTTTTCAAAATATTCATAGGCTTTATTAATTCCACTTTCCAAATTATTGAATAATTCTTCAAATTCATCATTTGGTAATGTTTCAATAGCTTCTGATAATTCATCAACAAAAAACATCTCTACATTGTTTTTAATATTTTCAAGAAAAGCTTTCCATTCAAAAACCTTTTCTGGCATTTCATGTGCTCGCCTTCCAAAAGGTAATTGAGCCAACTTTCCATTTTGTATTATTCGTAAATTAGGATCCCTACCTACTATAAATTGTACCAATGGTTCATAAAAATGCTCAGCAAAATTTACTAGGCATTTTATTTGAATATTAATTAGTGGATTAGATAACCATGACTCAAAAAGACACCAATCATTTAAATATGCTTTTGGTGTATTATGATGATTTTCCAATTGAACAATAAACCAACGGGCAAATAAAATGTGAGTTTCACGTCGATTTAAATATTGCTTGGCTGTCTGTAATTCATATCCCCAACGGGAACGAAGTGGTAGTTGATACTGGTTGTAATGAAATCCAATTAAGCCATCATATAAATCTTTAATTATTGATGCATTAATATTTAGAGGTTTGTCTTTGTCACTGGAATTGTAGCCATCATGTAAATTCCATGCCAAATATAAAAGATTATATGGATGTAATTTTCGAGAAAAACCAGTAGAATTTGAAATTTTGCCAAATGCTTCCTGTTCAAAGTGATTAAAAATAATTTGCATAATATGAAGGCTGCAACCAATTCGAAAGGCATTTGTACCAGTTTTTTTATTAAAAAGAGCAACAGCACCATTTTTATCACTTGACATATAGGCTGTATTATCAGTAACCCATAAGATACATTTGGTAATGTCAAGGCCATCCTCTTGAATTGATTCAATAACTAGATTAGAAACTGTCATACTATTACATCTTGGAATATCTTTAAGACTTGCCATAATAACAATTGGAGCTTGTTCTTTTTCACTCCACACCTGATAGCAAAGAACAAAGTTTTTAATTTCACCTCGAGTAGATTCATCAACCATGATTCCAAATACTGGTGCATTTGCAATTTGAGAAATTTGATTATTAATATATAACTGAGAAACATCTTTGTGCCATGTGTGTAATGTTGAGGTTGATAACCAATTTTGTGGAGGCTCTCCAGTTAAGAATTCATAAATTAACTTAGTGCATTCAACTGTAGAGCGCATTGATATTTCTCCAATTTGTGCAATACTGGTTGCAAGCCAAATTGTATTAGAGGTATATTTTCGTTTATTAATCATAAAAAGAGATTGAATCTTATCTTTAAATATTGCATTTGACATTGTTGAAGATTTTCGAACTAGTGAGCGAATTTCTGAGATATGCTGTGATTTTTGATTATGCAAGTGTTCTACTTGAGCTCCAAGTGATTTTGTCCTTCCAATTAACTTTTCTGTTTGATTGTGAAGCCTCCTGTTTTCCAACTCTAGTTGATTATTTGCATCCTTTAAAGATTCATTATGCTTATAAAAACTATTAGTAATATAATCATATGCTTTGTTTTGAAGATATGGTGATAGAATATTTCCTTCATTTAAACCACCTTTTGGATAACGCATAGTTGTAATAAGGTGATTGGCTGCTGGAACCTCTTTATCAGACAAATGTTGAATTGCAGCTGTTAATTTATTTCGTTGCTTATCCATTTTGTTTATCCCATTGTTACTTTTCTTTGCTTTTAACTTTTCAGCTTGAATTTTGCGTGCT